GTTGTGCAAGGAGAAGTGGCAGCAGCAAGAGGAGGCTGACCAGCATTGCCGTCATAGTTCCCACAGAAATAGACAGCCTCATCCTCGGCTTGGACCCCAGTGATGGTTAATGTGCCCGTGTTGCCGGATGTGGATCCGGAGAATCGCGAAGGGACGTCCGAGGGTCTGTTGTTGTTGTACCAGATCACAGTGACAGGGGCACTGCCAGGGACCTTCTGCTGGTACCAGCCATAGTTACCATTGCTCCCAGAGCAGGTGATCTTGATGGTTTCTCCCACCTTGGCTGACAACGAGGACGGCTGACTCAGTGGTGCTGCCTGGACCAGGGAACCTGGAAAAGGAGAGGAGAGAAAAAGAGAGGCTCAGCCAGTGCCACAGGAGTACAGACCTGCCCAGAGAAGGTTATAGTGAATGCAATAGTGGGAGGAGGACAGACAAGGACAAGGTCACTGGCACATTTGAGGAGCAGAGCTCAGCCCAGTGTATCCCACCACAGAGGCAGCAGCAGGACAATATGGTCATCAGTAATAAGAGGCAGTGGGTTGGGGGACAAAGCCACACCATGTGGTTTGCATGGACCAGGACGATGGTCTACAGACACAAAGTGAGCTCCAGGGCTCTAGGAAACAAAACGGGGGAAAGAAGGGCCAAAACCTTTCCTCTGATTTTGGGTTCTGCCTCACTTCCTGCTACTCACTGTCAACACACCATAGCTGCTGCCACTGCTGCTGTCACAATTTCGCAACAGGGAAGGAAAGACCGAGAAGAAATCAGCGACTCACCATCGCCTTTGACGATCAACATGGTCCCGGCCCCAAATATACCAGTACCACTGCTGTCGTAGCTACCACAGAAATAGACAGCCTCGTCCTCGGCTTGGACCCCAGTGATGGTTAATGTGGCCGTGGAGCCGGACTTGGATCCGGAGAATCGCGAAGGGATGTTCGAGGGTCTCTTGCTATTAGAATAGATCACAGTGACAGGGGCACTGCCAGGGACCTTCTGCTGGTACCAGGCAGCATAAGGCCAGCTAATCCTAGAGCAGGTGACCTTGACAGTGTCTCCAGGTTGGCTGAAATTGCAAACAGCTGATTCAGCAATGCTGCCTGGACCAGGGACTGTGAAGAGGGAGAGAAGACAAGGATCAGTCAGTGCCTCAGGAGCACAGACTGCCCAGAGCAGACAGATGGGATCCCTGTGCCCAAAGGCCCCATCGGGGCACAGCAAGTCTGGCCATGGCACCTGAGATGTGGGTGACCACCACAAGGAAAAAGACCCAGGCAATTCCACCAGCTCCACATCCTCACACTGATGGGGCTGTGCTGTGGACCCCAACATCCTCTTAAGTGCTTACACAGCCAGCACAGCCACTTCCATGGAAATGTGACCCTCAGTGTTCCCTGACAGCTCCTGTCCCACTGCTGTGCCTGTCTCTTGCCCATTACCAGCACAAAGATCACTCCAGGCCACCTGCTTCCTGGGCCACTCAGCTGGGTAAAACAAGTCCTGCTCCACACCAGGCTTCTCTCAGGAGCCACAAGACTACAACCAGCTCAATCCTGGTATCTGGGCAAAGTCTTTGCAAAGATCCATGTCAAGGGAGGGCAGGAACACTTTTCTACCTCATCTTGTCCATGCACCCTCTGCAGCCACCTCCTCCCTGCCTGTGACCCTGGCCTCACCCACCCCCCAAGCACCTCTGCAGCAGCACAGCTCCTCCAGCTGCTCCCCTTCCCACACAGGGGTTTGTTTGCAGGGTTCTGCTCCCTCAGCTGGCCCAGCCCATTGCCCACAGAGCACACACTGCCCCCAGCACACCCCTCTGCAGGCACTGCTCTGGCACCACTGACGCTCCTGCTTCCCAGCAGCACCACAGGAAACAAAAGTGCTCTGCCTCCTGAGCCTCTGGAGCACGAGGGCAAGTGCCCAGTCTGCCCAGAACCACACACCCACACAGAGCTTCCCAGACTTGCCTCTGCCTTTCCATGCTGCTCCAGTGAAGGAGGCAGGATGGATCTGCTGGCATGGCTGGAGTCTTTGGGCATGTCTGACAGATCCTGAAATGTTTTACATCTGCATATCAGCAAGCAAAGAGCACCTTCCTTTTAGCCTTTGGAGTCCCCTCACACCCAACTCCTGCTTCCCCTCACCTTTTACAAGCATAAGGAACAGGACTTAGACACATGAAGACAGGGATTTATTATTCTATGTTTGTTCTACAGAAGTTCAATGCCCAGCTACCACCACCCTCTCTGACTCTCTGCAGGCCAGGAACACAGCAGCTCCTCCTCAGACACAGGATTTTCCTCACAGGCTTCTTTCTCTTCATCAGCTGTGTCTTCTGCCTCAAGTTCTGCTTGGGAACCAAGACCAACAGCTCACCAGCAGTAAAGTGTCACAGCTGCTTTACAGCCCAGCTCAGTGCAGCACCACACCGTGGCCTGCTGCTCCTGAGACTGAACGGGGAAGGGAAGGGCTGAAAGGCAGCGAGAAGTCACCAAGGGGCTTTGAACATGATTCAGTACTTCTTGAACTCAATTCTTTCTACTTTCACATCATCCTCAATTAGTTGGTATACATAAGTCACAGCTGTGGAAGCCTGGATATCCATCAGCACAAATGAAGGGGTGATGTTCCTGGAAAGAAGACATCCTTTGTAATCTTCCCAATTAGCTTATACCTCCTGCTATTAACACCCCTTATGTTCATGTGTTCTCATACACTTAATTGCCCAGGGCTACAGTGAAGTGGGAAACACTGCAGGGTCTGCAGGCACTTATAAAAGTGTCTCAGGCAGAGCTGCACTTAGCCTGGAACATGTCAGGCTCAGACATTTAAGCTGACAGGGCCTCCAAAGGTCTGATTTCCTACAAAATATTAGAATGCAGCTTCTGGGAAGATACCAGAAAGCAAAACGACGTCAAGAAGCTACTCCAGCTCACCCCTCTCTGGGCACAGGAAGCAGCTCCAGACACACCAGTGCAGGGCTGTCATGACCAAAATGTGGGCTAAGAAAACCCTGGTAACAGGGAGCCTCGCTGGATTCCCTGGGAAGGGAGCAATCCAGCCTCCTGCTCCCCACAGCACCTCACCAGCGCTCTGCAGCTCGGTGATGAGACACACTCATTTCAGGTGACACCCACAGGCTCTGCTGTGCTGGGCAGCTCAGGGCTCCCCTCACTCACCTTTCCAAAGCACTGTAGGCTCCTGTAGCTGATCCTGGGTTGATGTAGAATTTTTTTTCATATTCAAATGCTTCAAACCTGTGTGTGTGTCCCGAGATGAGAATGTCCACATCCAGCTGCCTCTGCAGCAGTGCCAGGCTGGCTGCATCACCCCAGGGAATTACTTGATGGCCGTGAATCAGCCCAATTCTGAACTGCCCAACAGTTACAACCTTCTTTTCAGGATAATTCAGGCTCTGAGGAGAAAGGTAGACAATAAATCAGTCAAGGACCCCTCATTTATGCAATGCAGCTTCCAAGACACAAACCTGCCCTTCACTATTCAGGCACACAAAGTCTCTCTCACCGTGCAGACCCCACAGGATGCTTGTACCACACCCCAGCAAGAGCAACTTCAGAGTGAAGAGTTAGGAATTTGCACAGAGAGCAGGAGACTTTAACTGGGTATCTAACTGTAAATAATCACACACACAGAATTCCTGCAGCTACACGGCCAGCTGGGGCACTGTGGCTTCAGTAATCACAGACTTGTGACCGAGTTCATAGGAACCAGGTGCATGTTTTACCCCCTCACACTCAGGCCCTCCTGTTGCAGGTACAACAAGAAAGATCTAGAAAATAATTTTTTTCTTCACTCTTACTCATTCCTACTCCTTATTCAGGTGAATTACAGTTCAGGAATTGGTCAATGCTGAGAGACTCCCCAGGATTCATGAAGACAACCAATACAGGAAGGCAGGTTGAGGAACTGATGTTACCTCCGAGTCCCCCCTAACGACGTGGATGTCCCCAGCCAGCGTCCTGAGGTAGTCATAGCTCTCCTTGGTGCAGAGGTTTCCCGTACACAGGATGTGCTGAATCCTTCCTGGAACCAGCAGCTCCTTGAACTTCACGGGCAGGGCACTGCACCGGTGCGGGATGTGAAGGTCCCCAAGCACTAACACCAACTCCGCACACACCGGGGGGAGAGAGAGAGCCTTAACCCAGGTTACTTAAGAGAACAGCACAAAAACAGAATACCACAAAACCCTGCTGCGCTCCTTTTCGAGTCAGCTCTGATGAAACACCCCTGCGCTCGCCCGAGCCTCCCCGCACAGACAGCCCAGCCCAGCCGGGCAGCGCCAGGAGCCCTCGCTCCGCACGCAGCCGGAGGTGGGGAACGTGTTGCCCGGGGGAAGCTGAGGCGGGGGGCGCCGCAGCAGCGGGGAGAGCCGGGCCAAGCCGCCCCAGGCTGAACCCACGGGCAGGGAAGCAGCGCAGGTCCCCCATCCGCCGCTCACCATCCCGCCCGCTCCGGTCCGCCCGCCCCGCTGCCCTGACGCGCACGAGGGTAACCAGGAAGTGACGCTCCTGGTTTTGTGCTCCCCTGAGCCAATGGCAGCGCCAGCAGCCCCCACGTGATGTCAGCGCCTGCCGCAGGGTCCCAACGCCCGACGCGCGGTGAGCATGCGCAGTGCGGCCACCCCGTGGTGGCGCTGAATTCTGTGGGATTTCTGTGGGAAAATCCTTCATCTTTCTGTGTGAAAACGTCCTTGTAAAGGACCCACAGGTGCCAGCGGGGTTACACGTGTCCCTTTTCCCACAGGAGCTGTGGTGGGTGGTGAGGGGAGGGGGACAGGGCAGTGTGGGTGGAGGTCTCTGGCTCCCCGGGGATGAGGGGCTGCTCCAGGGATGGGTGAGGGCTCCGTCCAGCCCAAGGGATTCCACCAAGGGCTGCAGTCCGCCCTCCCGACTCAGGTACCCCGAGCCACCCCGCGGAGGTGACCCCACACACGACACGAGCCCTGTGGGTAAGGATTAACCTTTATTACCAGGTGAGCCAAACTGTGCGGAAGCCCAAGCCGGATCAAGGCTACTGAGTGCTGGAAGAGCCCAGGAAAGCTGGGCCACAACGGAGCCCTCCATCCATCCTCCTGCTGCAACAGGAGTCCCTGGCAGGTCTCGCACCGTGTCCGGCTCTCCAGTGCTCCATGGGGGAAGTTTGGGGTCGAAGAGTAGGTCACTGCACTTCCCAGCACGAGGCAGTGCTGCTGGGCCTGCTCGAGCATGCAAGGAGGTCTTTTTCCATCCCTCCCAGGGCTGCTGCTCTCCCTGTTGAGGGCTTTGCATCAGGGTTGCAGAAAGGGCACAGAGAGCTTTTGTTCCCTGTTTCTAAAACCACTTGAAGGCAGGTGTCAGGGCGCAGTAGTAGGTGCCGTTGTCCTCCTGGCGGGCGGAGGCGATGGTGAGGATGCAGGTGTTGCTGGCGAGGTCCTTGGTAGCAGAGAAGCGGTCGGGAGTCTCATCAGGCTTGTGCATTTCTCTTTCAGAGTTGTAATAGAGCAGATACCTCAGGGCGTGCCCCGGGCGCTCCTGGAACCAGGAGATGCCGAACTCGGTGATGTTGTACTGGGGGCTCAGGGTGCAGAACAGCCGGGCCGTCTGCCCGGGCAGCACGAACAGGGAGGAGGGCTGGGTCAGCACGGGCTGAGCCCTGCAAGCTGTACACAGCAAGAATGCAGTTACTGATGGGCTGAGCTGTGCTCCCCATCACCCTCAGCCCAAAATGTCCCTCAGCCCCTTTGAGGCAACCCCATTACCCAACCACCATCCTGCTTATCACCCCACACAGCCCTGGAGCAAAATGCCCTGCTCAGGTTGACATCCCCTTGGACAGCCCACCACCCTGCAGTGCCCCCCCAGACAGCAGCTAACTCGGCCACCCCATCCTTACCTGTGCCCACCGTCCCCAGCAGGAGCAGGACCATGAAGCCTGGGGCCATGGCAGGAAGCAGAGGAAGGGTGGCTGTTTCAGAGAGGGTCTGTGGTGCTACAGGAACCCAGGTCACTGTGCCGATGGCGCCGGTGGGGTGTATGTAAATGACACAGGGGGCTCAGGGACTCAGCTCCCCAGGGCTGCTCACTCTGCTGCAGCTGGGCTTCAGGGAGAGGGGGAGAGCTGAGCATCGCGACCCAGTGCCCTCCTTCACCCCAGGCCAGGCCATTTCCTTCAGCTGCACCCACAGCCAAACCCACCACCCTCTGTCCTGCACACTGGGGAGGCATCGCTGTCCAGCTCTCCTCGCAGATGGGGAGAACACAGGGGTTTCCCTGGGGTCTCACACTGTTTGCCTCAGGCCCTCTGCCATCAGGTGCACAGGAGGCCAGGAACCTGATCCACACTATGCCAAGGGTGTCCTGTGGAGGCAACAGGCTGGGGGCCAGCTGACCCTGCTGCCACCAGGGAGAATGAAAGACAGTCTGTACCAGAATTCCCTGGCAGCCATCTCATTGCAGAAGCAGCACAAGAAAAGTTGCTGCTCTCTTCCCCCTGCAGCTCCATTGCTGTGATTTCTCAGCCTGCAGTACAGGCTGGGAGCTGCCGATGGTGCTGCCTCTTTGCCAGGGCCAGCTCTGGAACAGCAGCCATGGGCAAACACGGTGGAGTGGCTGCCAAAGCCACTGGTCAGAAGGCATTTCCCGAGGGAGCACTGCAGTGAGAGGTGGCTGCAGCACGGCTGGTGCTGTGCGGAAGGACAGCAGACCGTTACAGCCAAAGGCCACCAGCTCAGCGGGCGTGAAGCCCCTCCTGTCTGTGACACCCATCACAGGGCCCAGAGTCACCGTGTCACACAGCCACCAGCCCATGGCTGTCCTTTGCAGCAGCATGGTCAGCAGGCACTTGGCAGTGACCCATAACTGGTGGGTGCCTCCTGCCCTCCACAGGCTGGCTCAGGCTCCACCCAATGCCACCACATCACCACCCAGGGATAGCCCACTCCCTCCCCTCTGCAGCACCCAGCCCTGCTCCTGAGGTGTCCCCAAGCCAACGATATTCGCAAGAGGTTCCTGAGGTGACCGGCCTGTGTGTGCTCTGGGTGTGAGGGGAAATGGAGCTCTGAGACAGAGCTAATGAGCTGCCTCGTTAGAGCACCCAGCACTGTGTCTCTGGCACGGGCAGATCCTGGAGAGGAAGCATCACCATCACCCAAGGACGTGATGCAGGAAGCTGGACTCCTGCTGTGCTGAGCCACCCTGCAGAGCTCTGGTGCACACAATCATCTGTCTGCTGCATTCTGGGCCCCTCAGAGCAGCTGTGACAGAGCAGGGTCCCCTCCTGCAGTGCCCTGCAGCAGCGAGGGGCCTGTCAGACCTGACAGGGCCGTACAGCACCTCGCACAGCTGGGCTGCAGGGGCTGCTGTGGGGCAGGAGGGCAGCAAGGCCTGTAGTACCCCTGCCAGGGGGATGTGGTGCCACACAGCACTCCCTGCACATGCAGTAAAGCCTGGCTGTGTCCCACCTGGGGAGACCTGTTCTATCAGATTTATTAGAGGCAGCCACAGCTGCATGAGACCAACTCCATAGCCCATCCAAGGCTGAAGCTTTGCCATGGTGTCTCCTGGCCTTGTGGAGTCTTCCCCTGCAGGTATCAGCAGCTTGTGTTTCATGCAGCCAGGCCCCCGAGCTCAGGGGGGTATGAGCATGCTGCAGACACAGCTCCAGCTGTTGCCCACCAGCACTCCCCCGATTCTGCAAGGTGGTGGCAAAGTGAACATGAATTTCCCTGCACATGGGCCCAGGTGAGGAAGTGCCACATGTACACTTGTGCCATGCTCCAAGCAGATCAAGTCCATGTATTTAGACAGAGGCTGTGAAACAAAACCCAGTAAGGCAGAAGGAAATCACATCCTCATGCAAGGAGGGACATTTCAGGGAAAGGGAGTTTGTTCACAGAGCACATTAGCGCTGTTACTGGTTCCCACCATTCAGGTCCTCCCCATCTGCTGACCAGCCCAGGGACATGATTTCATCCATATGTTTTTCCACAGGAAGAGGGTATGATGCTATGATGCCCCTGAACCACTGCTGCCAGAACATTGCACAGCAACATTTGGGCACCAAATGGAAGATGCAGCTGGCACATGAGCCACGTGCATCACTCTGACAGCCCAGGGGGGCAGGAAGGTACTGGTTGTGCACAGTGCAAGAGCAGCTACGAGCCCAGCCCCGTGCTCACCCTGTTCTGCCAGCTTTATTCCCTTCCTGCATGAGGAATGAGAGATACTCAGTGAACAGAAGGAACTCACACATGCAAAGGCAGTTTTATTCCAACTGCCCACAGTTCCTTCTAGCCTGCAATACCCCACTGCCTTGAGCTCCAGAATAGGACAAGCACAGGCAGAGTCCTCAGGAAGATTTTTGCAGGAGCATCCAATCATCTTGCAGAGGAGGCCACACTGCCCTTGCAGCAATGCTGGGCTCAGCTGGGAGCAGGGTGGGCAGATGTGGCACCACCACAGCCCAGATGAGCTGCAGGACAAACAGGGGCAGGAAACACCACGAGACTGCAAAAAGTCTGAAATTCAGAGTGGCTGGGACCACATGGAGCAGGCAGCTTTCCCAAAAGGCTGCTGTTTAGCTCAGTCTCTGCTCTACCCCCCTTCTCCCACCCCGCAGCTGCAGGAGGCTTGGGAACCTGCAGGGGCCATTCCCTGTTGCTGGGAAATCTGGCTACTGAAACCACAACAGCGTCAGTGGCAAACACAGCCTGTTCCCTGGGCACTCCAGAAGCTCCCACCACTGCCTGCAGGAAGGCACCCGGCACAAGCAGCCCCTCAGCACAGCCCTGGGCCCCCACCAAAGGGGAGCAGCTCTGGGAGAGGAAAGCCATGTTCATCAAAGTGAGATACGGAGGTATGTGGGGAGAGCTCCAGCCTTGCCTCAGCTCTGGGGCCAGACACCCACCTGGACACCCTCACCACCCCCACAAGGGGCAGGGAGGGACAGGGCACCCTGGTGCACAGCAATGCCCAGGGGTTTGGGAACATGCAGGAGAGCTCTGCACCCTGCACCTCACCTGTCTAAAGAAATATAATGCCTAGACACTGAATCGTGGAGGAAAACCACACCAGCAGCACTCAGTTAATCACAGGGAGGGAGGGCAGAGGCAAGGATGAGTTCCCAGCCTGGCAGCTCTGGGGAATCACTGCAGGGAGGGGCCCTGCTTATCTACACACAAGCAGAAAAGCCACGGGGCAGAAGTGCCAGCTGCCAGCAGAGCTCTTCTGCTCCTGGCTGTTTGGGAAGGGTTCCCTGGCTCAAATCCTGACCCTCAGCTTCAGAGAGCAGGTATTTGTGGCTGGTAGGAGGGAATGAGCAGCCCCTCTCCTGACCTCACCCAGTTGGCTGAGAGCCTTTGCCTGACCCCAGACACTCGTGGCTGAAGGTGTCAGACACACACAGTCCTAAGCCTTTGCTCCCTCTGCTATTTGAATTGGATCCCCAGCTCTGACCACTGACGTGTGTCAGCTTTGGGGATTTCTCAATTGTGACAAACTTGGTGAGAGTTCATGGCCAAAATATCCCCTGGTGACTCAGCCACAGTCTCCGGCTCTTTCCCCTTGTGACTGGGACCAGCTTGTGGAATGGGACTGGCAAGGACCAGAGCTCACTGCTTTTTCCTACTCACGCTCGATGAAACTGTATTGAAGGACAGAGACACTTCATCAGTCAGAACTGTTTTTCCCAAATCAAAGTGTTCATCCCCTCCCCTAACCTGGGGCACTCCCAACACCAACCACCAGTAGATGTGGCTGTAAAGGAGCAGCTCAAAGCCCTGGTGATGCCACATGGGGATCCTGGCTTCGCTGGCTACACAGTGGGCACTTCTGAGCCACCTGTTGTGCCTCCTGCCACGTCCATGGGGCTCCTGGATTTGACGTGACCACGCTCACATCTCGGGTCTCATTCTCTGTCTGCAGCCAACTGCCAAGTGATGGTGAACCTGCAGTGCTCTGTTCTGATCCTCACAACTCACCTGAAGAGGAAGTGTCAGTGCAGGCCTGAAGGTACGAGTGCTCCTGGGCAGGGGGCTCTGAGGGACCAGAGACTCACCCACAGAGAGCAGCAGAGGGTAGCAAACAGGTCACAACAGACCATCCCAAAACACAGGGAAAGGGGCAGCAACTTCCAGACCTTGATAGATTCTCTTCAAAGCTAAATTGCTAAGGAGAATACTCTAAACCCCACAGGCTCATGCTGGCCACACAGGGACACACTGGGCTTCCTTCACCATGTGTCTCTCCCTCCAGACTGCATTGATCTTCTGGATGAAACAGGCACCCTGATGAACCTGAGCAAAGTGGAAAACCCTGCATCCGAATACACCAGTAAATACCTCCGGGAAAGGGAGCACTACATCCTCATCAGAGTCATCCGTAAGATCCTTGTTGGGACAGCACAGCTCTGGGTGGGGGCAGAGGGGTGGGTTTCCAGCGTGGCTCTATTCAGCAGTCACTTAGCACAGGAGCTCTGAGGAGGCAGAAGCCAGCTCAGATGAAGAGCTAGAGCTGAACCTTTGTCTGAGGTGACTGCTCTTGGGGACAAGGAACCTTTCATGGGCTGAACCACCTGCCCCAGTAACAAGCCTTCAGTTTGCAGTCAGGAGAGAGACTAATCCATTTCTCCAATTCTGCTGGCAGGAGACAAAAACTCTGAAGCCACCTCCTATGAATCCTTGCTAGAGGACCTGGAGAAACACTACCCTGACCTAACAGGTAAGAGCCAGACACCCAGAGAGGAGCCAGGAGTGCCGGCATGACTCCTCTCCCCACCTCAGCACCCATGGGACTGCCCTCTGATCCCACTTAAGGGCTGGTTATGGCTATGGCAGTGAGTGCACTCAGGCAGCAAGGGAAGGGACAATCAGAAATCAGAGCTAGTTTGCAGAACACTTCCTAGTTAGTGGGACAGCAGGGACCTGCTGCCCTCCCATGCACAGCAGGCAGAAGCCTGCCCAGCTTGCCCTTGGCAAAGAGGGGACATTTCCTTGGGAGAAACAGGGAGAACAGGAGAAACTGGGAAATCCAGAAGTGTCTCTCCCAGGCTGTGGTCTCACAGGGTGGCAGTGCCTCGCTCAACACGCAAGGGGCAACTACCCACCCAGAACACACAGCTCTGGAGGGGGTTGATCACTCCACAGATCGGCTGCAGCAGCTCTCAGCAAAAACCCAGAGGAGAGACCAGTGGAGGAAGGGAACCTCGCAGAGGAAGGCTCAGCCCCACATCAGCACCCAGTTAAGGAACAAAACCACCTCAAAGAAGAAGAGGGGCTCAGAGTTCAAGACCCCTAAATGAGGAACAGACCCATTCCTGGTCACATGCACAGCACAGCCACCACCAGGACTCAGCCACCTCCCCAGCTTATTCCTAGTTCAGCAAGAGTCCCCTGCTACTGAGATCCTCTTCCTGGGGTGCCCTGCTCCTCAAGGGTTCACACCACCACATCCAAAGCTGCATCCTGACAAACCAGGCAAACACAGCACCACAGCCAGGCACAAGCAGCATCCAGGGGGTCATTCATGTTCCTATGGCATGGCCTGCGCTCTCCAGTGACAAGAACCTGCACCTTCTTTCAACCCCCCTGCACCAGCAGCCAGAGGAACATGCACCCACATCACTGAATGGACCGACTTTCCACACAGTCACCACACTGGCAGTGCCTTCTAGAGACTCTCCACTGTGGTCACCAGGAAAGGCTGTTCCAGAGACAGCTCATTTCCACATCTACAGAAGCAGCTCTTTGCCAAGATGGGTCAAAGACAGAACAGACCCGCTGCAGGTGCTCCTGCTGGTTCTCCTTAACAGCTTCTCCACCCAGACTAGCACACACCAACATTACATTTATTTCTGAAATAGAGTTAACTTCAGAGTGGTTCTCCCCTGCTCACACTGGGACAGTTCAGGACACAGAGCACTTTGGCTTTGAATCTCTGGCATCTACTTTTGCCCTTGGCTGTTTCTCAGGAGAGCACAAGGCACCCCAATAAGGCCAGACAGAGCTCAGAACATTATCTACCAAGAATTTGGGTTATGACATTTAGAAGGGGCAGGACTTTCAACACCAGCCTCCAATATCTGCTGCCAGCATTTACCATCTAGACCTGGATTTCCTCACAAATCCCAGCTGAGAACTTGTCCAGTATTCAACAGTCAGAGGTCAAAAGGTTAATAGACTCATTCTGCCATGAAAATGCATCAGTTGAGCATCTGAAAGTGGCATGGTTTCACTGCTTTGCCACTAAAACTCCATCTCAAGCCTCAAAATTCTCTTTTACAAGAAGGTAAAGAACAGGGTGCTCTGCCAGAGGCCAGTCTGAGGGCAGCACTCATGAGATTGTTCTGCCAAGGTGACTGTAAGAGGAAAGCAGCTCCAAACTTCACCTGTTGCCAGTGACCTTGAGAACATTGCATAATCTGCTAAAGCTTTTAAGTAAGATCAGCCAACTGTACCCAAGGTCCCACAGCCAGACAGGTCACATTGTCTTAGTTCTAAGTCAGAACAGCTCTCCAGGAGGAGGATATCTATAGAAAAATAATTTGTTACTGAAAATACTCTAGACACATCTTGGATTACCCCTCTCCACCCTCTCCTCTGCCTGGAGGGCAGCCAGTGCAGCCTCAGCTGAGGTCTGGATCTCTTTTTGCCAAGTCATGCAGGCTCTGTCCTTGCTAGGCTGCACCTCCTATTTGCAGGGAACACACAGTAGTGCCTTGTCCTTTAAGCAGCTGATACTGTTAACATTTTGGTAGCTTAATTTTAGCTTGAGAATTAAATAAAGCACGTGCACAAGTGATAGGTCCAAATAAATTCCTTTATTTCTCTGTAATAAATATAGCACTATCTGAATTCTAAAGACCCTTGGGTCCAATCGTTCCTTTCCTTCCCTACTAGTTCAGAAGTGAATTACCACTAGAATGCTCCTGTCTGGTCAGTCTACTCCCTCCAGCTCACTCCCTGTCTGTCCTTCTGCTCCCCATGGATAGCAGGGCTCTACACCACGATCCTCTTCCCTACAAGGGGGCAGATTCTTCACAGGAGAGAAGAAACACCTACAGGGAAGAAGCATAAATTCAGCATTAGGTACATGTTCCAGCAGCTGGAATTAAAAGCTCTGTTATCTCAGGTGACCAGATCAAGACTTAACTTCTAACAACAACTTATAATAAATGCAGCAAGAATTAGAGAATCAGCTAGGGAAAAGCAGTAGGCTTCCCACAGCAGCAAAAGAGGATCCGCTAAGAGGGTACCTACAGCCTCCCCATCTTCAGAAGTATGGTCAAGATTATTTCTCCCACCCTTTCCAGTGCCCTTCTGGGAACAGAGGAGGCAGAACTGCTTCCTACAGCCCTAAAAGATCGCTTCTGCAACCTTCAAACCCCCTCAGGTACTCTCCTGGCAGCAGTTCCCTCCTGCAGGGATGGGGCACACTCACCGTTGTTATACTTGCACTGCTTCAGAGCCTCGTTGAAGCCCTCGCACAAGGTCAGGTCTTGCTGGTTGGTGGCACATTCCAGGAACTGCTTCATCTCGTAGTGGCAGGGTCCGAAGGGCGACTGCGGCTGCATGGGGGGCTGCGGGCACGGGCCCGGTCAGGGGCGGCCCGGGGGCACCGACGCCTCCTCCCCGCGGCAGGAGGGCTCTGTCCCTCCTTCCGCGCCAGCCCCCGGTCCCCTCTGCCCCGGCCCGTGGCCCCACGGCCGGCCCGCCCAAGGGCAGCCCAAGGGCACAGCCCCGCTCGTACCTGTGCGGGCGCCGCCGCCTTGGCCGGCTCGGAGGAGGAGCCGCCGCTGAAGGCGCCGGTGATGGCGCTGCCCACGACGTGTCCCACGGCGGAGCCCACGGCCACGCCGGCCGCCGTGCTCGCCATCTGCGCCATCAGCCCGGGCTGCGCCGCGGGCGCCGCGACCGGGGCCGCTGGAGCCGGGCTGCGGAGAGAAGGGAGTCAGGAGGGGCGGCACAGGACCCGCGTGTCACGGCGTGCCGCGGTGTGCCCCGCAGTACCTGGCGGGCACCGGTGCGGCCGCGGGTCGAGCCGCAGGTCGAGACACGCTCCGTCCTCCCCGCGCCATCTTCGCTCTCCTCTTCTCAGCGCGCCCGCCCCGCGTGCCGCCTTAAGAAGGGCCGCCGCCGCCACGTGACGCCGTGCGCATGCTCGGTCAGGCGGCCGAAGCCGCGGCCCCGCCCCACTGAGGGAAGGAGGGGATCCCGCCGGGCGCATGCGCAGAAAGGGCTAGGCGGGTGTCCCCGGGCTCCTCCCACTCGCCCCCGCGAGGTCCGTGCGCCGCCAGGGGGCGCGCGAGGCCCGTCCGGCCCTCAGGGAACGGGGAGGGGGCGCGGCCGGGGGTCATTAAATTACGGGATTATCGAATCAGTGAGTTATCGAATTGTCGAATCAGTGAATCAATAAATCGTTAAAAGGCCTTTGAGATCATCGACTCCAAGCGTTCACCCCGCACCGCCAAGGCCACCGATAACCCGCGTCCCCGGCTGCCCCACCCACACGATTTCGGAACACCCCCAGCCTGTGCCAGGGCTGGACAACCCTTTCAGTGAAGAATTATTTCCTCATATCCAATTGAAACCTCCCCTGGCACAACTTGAGGCCAATTCCTCTTGTCCTGTTGCTTCTTATTTGGGAGAAGAGGCCACCTCCCACCTGGCTCCATCCTCCTTTCAGGGAGGAGCAGGAATGATTTATACTCGTGTGATGGCTTCTGCCTCCGTAGCAGACACTGACCTCGGTTCTGCTCACTCCAAAGCTGGAGTTGACTTTGCCTTTCAGTCTGTCCCACTGTGCTGCCCTAGTCCAAATGGGACAACAAACGTGTTCAGGGGTGAACTGGTACCTTGCTGTGCCCAAATTCAGCACCTGCCAGTGAAGCCACTCACCATCTCTAGGGTCACTGGCCCTAATGTGACTTAGCCTGTTTTTGTGGTCCTGCCACTGGGTGAGGGCCACGACTGCTGCAGAGCCACGGAGGGACAGAGCTCTGTGCACTCCAGGCAGGGCAGGAAGGGAGGGAGCAGGGAGGCACTGCTGGCAGGGCATGAGCTGAGCACAGCAGCTCTCCCATGATGGTTAATGAAGGTGTTGTGACAAAGGAGAGCTGCAAGAAGGGCAGTGTGGTGGCTTTGCAAATTCTCAGTGTGCTTCTCCCAGGTGTGGAGCAGAGCATGAAGGGGCTTGTTGGGAATGGGCATAGAGAGGGCCTCTGTTGCATGGGAGACAATGGGTGGAGGAGAGGTGGATAATGATGGGCTGGGAGAGGGAAGATGAGCGCTCCACAATTGGGGCAGAGAAAAGAGGGTGCCAGGGAGGAGCTCAGAGAGGAATGATGTGGTCTAAGCCATTGGCCAGCACAACAATTTTTGCAGCAGCCCTCTGGATACAAACCAGGAGATCAAGGAACACTTTGAAAGGCGTGGACATTGTTGGGCAGTAGGAATCCATGAGAAGATGATGATGAGCCCTCAAATCACGAACAGACAGGCTGGATGACGCCAGTTTTACCTTCAAACCAATTTCCTGACAATCATCTCTTCCCTGGCACTCCTGCTGGTCTCCAGGGCCTCTGTTGGTCCGTGTCGGTTCAACATCTCCCCAAAATGGCCCTCCTTGCCAGCTCCATCTTTGGATGTTCCTTATGCCCTGTGGAGTGAAAGGAATTTCCAAAATTGAGAAGGATCCAGAAGTTGTCCAGGAAAAAAAAAATCCCAGCTATGTTATGTCTCCAGGGCTGTGTTCGTATATTCAGCACGTTATGAAAACCAGCTCTTTGGGCTGGTTCATTGACTGGCAGGAATTAGAGAGCTAAGTCACTGCAGGACTGGCAATTAGCTGCTGTGTAAGTGTTTTTGTAGAGTCAAATTTCCAGCACGAGGGGAAGAGAAAAGCGTTTGTAAAGCAAGCAGCCCCCTCTGTGCAGGAGCTGGGCGGGCGGGGGGAGCTGCAGCTCCCGAGGAGAGAAAGGGATTGTGTCTCAAACAAACACCACTTTGGTCTCCTCGTCTGCAGGGTAACACCCCCAAATCCTTCCTCCCGCAGCACCTGCCCCGAGAGCTGTGCAGTTCTGCTTTCAGCTGGAATAGCAGCATTTTACATCTGGCATTTGCCTGTCTTTTCCCACTAATAGAGAGGGGGCCAAGCAACTGTAAAACCAGAGGAATGTGACTGGAAAGGCCCTGCCTCAGCAGCACCTGCACTTTTTCCTTCTCCCAGCCACGGGTCCTGGAGGAGCAGGGTTCCCTTCCTTGTGCAGCCCCATTCGGATGAGCCACAAGCAGTTGTGGGCAAACAGATCTTAAAGGCAGGAGAGAGAAAAGGCAGGAGGGAAGACAAGGGTGACCTCAGAGAGCCCCTTGGTGCAAGAAACCCCCGGGGAGAGAGCTCAGCTCTCTGCCATCAGCATGTGAGCGTGGATGAGCCATCAGGGCGTGGGGCTGGGGCCGACACACCACGGGCTCCTTTCCCTTCTTGGTTTTTCCTGGCCATAGGAAGAAGCTCAGCATGTGCCGGGGGGAGGAGAGGACAGACTTGCAGGGGGTGCAGGGAATGCCAGAGCTCCAGCCATAAGAAATCAGGATTCATTAGTTCCACCACGCGCAGAACAACTTGCTGAAGGAGCCTGGGTTTCAAGCTGAGCGCGTCCCTCTAAGCTGCGTCTGGGGGACCCTTTGATTTGGTTAATTAGACACAAAGTTTTTCTGTGCAGTGGGAGGCTGGGTATGTGCTGAGGAGCACAGCTACCCTGGGCTTACTAATGAGATAATTTATTGTGGCTGTCTGAGAGCCTGAGTGTACACAACTCCACCCGCACACACACCACCCACTGCAAGCCCTCTGCCCCCAGCTGGAGAGTCCTCAGCACCGGAGGTGGAAGTACTGTGGCAGGTCTCCCTGTGAGAGCCCTGCCGAGGAGCCATCCTCCCGCTGAGGGACTGCTGCAGGAGGGCCCCGTTTGCATCTAAATATCCCTGCAACAGTTTTCTTCCCTGGCCAAACTTCCTAACTCCTCTGTTTTTCAGCCTAAATTTGATCTTCGATTCAATCAAGTAGCTTCATTTCTGCCTCTCTCTCTTCCCCTGCTCCAGAAGATCCCTCCTTACATAGTTCAAGTGTTAGGGCTTGCCTGCACTTGAAGGTTGACTCTAGATTGAGGGACATATAAATCTGAAAGATAGTAACTAATTCCTGAATACTTCTGGAAAGATTGACTGAAACCCAGTAATTTCTGAATAACTTAATGCACTGACTGGCCAGTACCTCCCCTCCTGTTAGCAGCAGGAGCAGGTAGGACAAGGTTTGTAAAAAGCAGGTTTGTTTTTTTCCAACTGCTTTCTCCCCGTTGCTCTAAAAGCAGATCATAACCTCCCCCTTCAGAGTTTGCCTCACTTAAATCCTCACTCTGTCACCGCTGAAATGTGGCTACAAAGAGATCTAGGAATTCCCCAAGCATTTGAATCTCAAGGGGTTGTTTCACAGGTAAGGAATGCAACACTGGCCTCCCTGTGTCTCCTACCTGTCTCTGCCCCTCCGTGGGGCGACACCGCGGGTCTGTCTTTACCAGGCTGCAGTTTCACTGGGCGCTTGCTTAGGGGATGGTGACACCCACAAGTGTCACTTTTCTGCAGAAAGCCCTCTCCACGCAGCCATGTCACGCTGTGGATCGTCCCTGCCTGGTCCCTGCCACGGGCCACCACCAGCAGGTATCCATCTGGGGATGCTGCTGGAGCCTCCTGCCTCCCGAGCTGCAGGTTTGCGCTTGGGGAACCCTAATTAGTGCATGCAGGGGCAGATCTGGGCAGTGCTCTGGGTGTACCTGAATTTAAGTTATTTAGGTTAACAGCAAATTG